ACAACCGTTGCGCCGTGAACAGGAAAATATGCATTCTTATCATCGACGACAGGAACAACAAGAACGTGATATCAAGTCGGATGGCACAAAAGTTGGGACTCTTTACTAAGAGGCATTTCCTGTCATATTCATGGAAGTGGCTATAGAAGGAGAATCAATCAACGTCGATCAAGGATGCTTAGTAGAGTTCTCAATTGGAGGCCAACTACAAGACCAGGTGTGGTGTTGTCCTTATGAATGCTCGTCAGCTTCTGTTGGGACGACCGTGACAGTGTGACCGGAGAACTGAACACAACGGATTCAAAAACACATTATTTCTTCACCAAGGAGGGGAAACACATCATTCTACTTCCCTTGGCAGAGCCCGAGATTTCATAAGCTTTTACCGACAGAGCAACGTCAGTTGGACCAGTTTTAGTTCTGACAATGAACGAGACGGCTGAGACACTCACTCCAAATACCAAACTAATACGATCAAGGGTATTTTAGGGTCTCACGGTCGACGCAGTACCACCATCACCGCCGTGGGGAAAGGTTTAGTTTACTCTCACTGCACCCGTTTGAACCAATTATGGGTTATTTTAGGAAGATTCAACAATACGAGCAAGACACGCAGTGCCGAGAAATTGGATCGAGATGGTTGTATGCTCACAAGTGCAGCTAACAGTGAGATTCAGGTGCAACAAAGATTGAGGATAACGGACCAGAAGCTTCAATGAATGAGGTTGAAGCTCCTCCATTTTCGGGAGATTGACGCAAGGCTGTTTGAGGAGGCCGGCCAAATCGGCCTAGTTGGGGCATGTCCAGCCTTCTACTGGACCAGTAAGCCCTCCTGCGGAGGCTGGAATTGCTGCCCCTTCTCTCTTCTTTTTTTCTCCAATTCTTTCTTTACTTTTCCCACTAATCTCCGATTGTAAGGCATTGCTTTCTATTTCTTCTCTTTCTAATTTCTTTTTTATTTTAAAAGCATTGTCTATTTCCTGTACTTTCCTTTTTAATCCCTTTCTTATTTTACAACATTGCCTAATATAATTCTCAATTCTTATTATATATATGGGGGTGTTTTGCTTAGTGAATTCAGTTTTTGGTGGTTATTCTGAGTTCAGATTCCTTTGTGGTGTGTTTCCCCGATTTTAGGGATATATTCGAGGAGGTGGTGGTCTTCGACTATATACTACTCCGAGATGATGTTTTATCTTCTTCCCTTTTCTTGTCCATCCCTCCCTCCACTCTCCTTCTCATCTGCCAACTCCCAACATTGCCCACTTCCCGCCACCCATAAAACATCCCAACATGCTATCCGACCATTTTCGTTGTTGTCCGGTCATCCCTACTTGTTGTCTAGCCTTCCCACCTGCTGCCTCTTCTTCCCATCTGTTGTCCGCCCGCCCAAACCTGTTATCCAGCACCCAGAACTTGCCCTCCAACCTACCTACCACTCTAGCAGGCCGCCACCTTGTTGTGTCCAACAGGACTCCCCTTTCCATTATTGTCCTATGCGTCGACCACCTTCGCACACCCCCTTGCTCGTTTCAACAACCGCTTGGCTATCTTAGCTGCCACAACTTCCTCCAGCAGCTCCTGTCTGCTGGTTGTGTCTTCTAGCTCGGGACAGTTCTACTTGCCCTTGTCTGCGTTGCTATTGTCGGCTGCCCTGTCCTGTCCAGTAGCCACCTGCTCTTGCTGATACTGTCGACTACCGCCACTTGTGGCCCTTCTCCTTATGGCCGCCGCCCAAATCGATTAGCCTCCCGCGCCTCCACCGCTTGCTGCTGCCTTTTCTCGTCACCAGCTGGCCCAAATTCACCGTCGATGTTCGCAGATACTCTCTCTAGGCCTTCCACGGATTGTGCTAGTCTTGTTTTTTTTTTTGGTTCTACTGTCATGTTGAACTTTGTTTGTATTTTGAGTTCGTGAGTAATAATATTTGTTTATCGTCGCCGCGGGTTATGTTAACTTTGATATTATTTGGTATCAAAGTTAGCCCAACCCTAGTATTATCCCAGGGTCCTCAGCATCCGCCTCTACCTAAGCAACCCTACCATAATTTTTCCCCCTTAAAAGCTTTTACGGATGAAGTCGAAGCTTCCCCAACCCCCCTGAGATGGACCCGCTAGTTACCGACCGCGGTAATGTAGCAATTGCAGTATCGCAAACATAATTGCTACAGTAACCACAGTCTTCTTTTTTATTTGATTCCCTTTGCTATTTGATTCTCTGCCTATATCCATCCCTTCCTACATGCCTCACTTCAATTCCTTACCCCCTCCCCTTCTTTATTTATTGTCTATTCTCCTACTTGCCTAGTCTATCTATTTCCCCCTTATTTATAGATGTTTTTTACCTAGAATTGGGGAGGAGGGTTTTTGATGATTATCGATTTCAGTTGTTGACTTCAAGGCGTTATCCTCCGGAGGCTGAACCCGATGATGAGAAGGTGCTCCGACTATTACTAGTTTGAGGTAGTGACTATCGCCAAGGGTCTGGGTGGTGCTTCGGTTATAGCTCGACCCCAACATGACATTTATCCTTTTGCGGCCTTCTTTGGCCCCCCTTCCAGCAGCCGCAAACCACTCGACGTTGCTACCATCTTCATTTTCTATTGTTTTTTTTATGCTTTCTGCAGTTGTCTTGTTCCCGCCAGCCATGCCAACACCCTCCCTGCTGTTGTTTGCTGCTTCCGGCAACTACCCTCTTGTCGCCAGCCATGCAGACACTGTCTGTGCTGCTGTTCGACGCTTCTCATTTATGTCATGTTACAGTCCAGACCTTCAACCTCTCTGGTCTTCCAGCGCCTATCCATCAACTGTCCTGCTGCTTTAAGCTATCGGTTACCAGTCGCCTACGTGCTATCCTTCTTGTCACCAGTTAGCAGGCCTCCTACCTCCTACCCGTTGACTTTTCTGCCAGACCCCTAGCACCACCGCAGCCCCCTTCCTCCCCTGTTGGACATGTCGCTCGTCCTGTTGGACTTTGTGTTTTACATTGTTTTCTTTCTTATTTTGCAGTGTCCTTATTGTCTTTCGATTGTTTGGGTGTCATGGGTGTTGTGGTCATTTATTTTTAATTTTTGATGAGTTTTCATGTAACCATTTGAAATTTAGTAATAATATTTGTATTTCCCATTGTGATTTGGGTTAACTATGCTATGATTAGTGCTTCAAAATACATGGTGAATGGACTCGATCCATTAGGCCAAAAAGCCCATTTAATGTCGGGGCTTTCCTATTGTTTTGAAGATCTATTTTTTGATGTATATTTAGCTCCCCGATTCTCTTAACTTTTTGACAGTATATCGCGAGAGGAATGAGAGAATGAGAAGAAAATTGATGACCTCTATGAGCTGCTAGAAGAGTGATAGTGTCACATGCTGAAATCCTCAGTTTTCTTCCATCTCCTTCTCAAGGTTTCTCCCAAATTATCATCCATGGACAATATGGGGCCCTGAATCCTAAATGTTTTAACAATATCTAAATGGCCCAAAACTTAAAGTGATCACATAGATTAAGTTTATAAGGCTCGCTCTATCTTAGTGTCGGGTTTTAGTATTGCAGTATTCAAATTAGGTGTAATTTGGGACAGTTAAGATTGTATTGTGATGAGCTCTTCAGACCGTTGAGAGTTTGAAGTGCTTTTTTGGAGTTACGGAACTTGATTGCTGTATTAAGCATTTGGAATCTGTAGATGACCTTTGAAGGAAGATTTACATACAGGCGACTCAATTCCAATGTATTTATATATCTAACACCTAAACTTTCAATTTTTGCATATATACCTGCTTACCTATGCATGAAAAGGTGTATTCCACTTTTTAAAAGTTAAAGTCTTATTTTTTTTGGGATATGAAAAACTTGAGTGGTGTAAATGTAAAAGGCAAAATTAAGATGTTAGACATGTAAATCCATGAGAACTGAGCGGTGGAATGTATGTAAATTCTCCCATTTTAGTGGTACTAGAATTTGAAACAACAATGGTGGACGGTTGTATCACCGGAAGGAAGATGTTTTCGCTGAATTTAGAGTATGTGATGATTTATTAAGGATTATTGAGTTATACCATTTTGACTTCTAAAACTGGAAAATACAAGGACTATGAATTATATCTATTGAATATATATATATATATATATATATATATATATGTATATATCTTCGGAATCATTCTTCTGCAGTTATATTGCCGACACCACTCCTGCTCCTTCCAGCGCCGCAGCCACCTGCTGGCTGCAACTTCCAGTGTAGTCGCAGCTCCCTTCCTTCCCTTCGTGGCTTGCCGCTTTCCTCTAGAGAAATGTTCATGTGTTTTTGTGGTGTTTTATTCTTATTTTGAGGACTCACCATTGTCACTTGATCGTTTGTATGTTTCATGTTGTTTATATTGAGGAGTTGTTGTAACTTTTGAACTTAACAATAAATTTCTTTTGCTTGGTGATATTTTGGGTTAACTCCGGTATCAATAGCCATCTTTGCTTCAACATGGGATTATTATTTATTGAATTCATGAATTTAGAATTGGTGGCTCCATGACTACGTCTCAAGTTTATGTTTGAGAATTGGGGCATTTGCATCAATACCTCCCAATTCCTATGTATTTACATAACTAACACCAAAATTTTAATTTTTACATTTATACCACCAAAATCTTTCATCACATAAAAAATGTCACTATTTAAACTTTTAAAAAGTGAAATACATCCTGTCATGCATAGGTAAAGTGCCTATGTATGTAAAAATTTAAGTTTAGGTTTTAGATATGTGAATACCTAAGAATTGAGTGGTATGTATGCAAGTATTTCTTGAGAATTTAATGGGTTTATGCAATGTTGAATGGTATTTTGGCCATTTTAGTAACTATCATGTGTTCCCACTGAAGTAAGCAGAAAAAAATCATTTTATTTTTTTTGGTATTGATGTATATTTTGAGCTAAAGACTTTTTTTTTTTGAATCAGCTGATGTTTTGATCTTAGAGTCATAAATGCTTACACTGTTATGCTTGACAGCTTTGGACAACAATCGAGAAAAGTACTGCCACGTTTGACAGAGAGAAAGCTCGAGAACGGTTGTCTAATCTTTCTGGAGGTGTTGCGATTATTAAGGTATGTTATAATTTTTTAGGGAAATTTACATACGGAGCACATAATTCTGATGTATTTACATATCTCACACCTGAATAATAATATTTACGCACATAGCACTCTTGTGGTTTAAACTATGAATGAAAAGGTGTATCTCACTTTTAAAAATGATAATCTGCTATTTTTTGTGATGTTAAAGATTTGAGTGTCATGTATTATGTAAATATGACATCTGGATGTGAGATATGTAAATACATAACAATTGTGTATTATGTATTTAAATGCCCGTATTTCTTAAACATTTCCGTTTGAACCATGCATGCCTGATTACTATTTATCTATTTGTTTGCAGGTTGGTGGAGCGAGCAATGCTGAAGTTGCCGAGAAAAAGGATCGGGTTACCGATGCTCTGAATGCTGCACGAGCAGCTGTGGAAGAGGGTTATCTGCCAGGTGATTTTTTGGGGGGGCATTTACATCCATAGAACACAATTCTAATGTTTTTACGTATGTTACTCTTATACTTTCATATTTACACATGGCATTCAAAATTTTAATATCACATAAAAAATAACACTATTATCACTTTTGAAAAGTGAGATACATATTTTCATGTATATTTTTACAACACTAAAGTGTTATTTATGTAAATATGAAAGATTATGTGTGAGATGGGTAAAAGGAATGTAAATTTCCTTTTTTCCCCTTATTTGGTGATTGTGGTTGGAGTTTATTGCTTCATTCTTCTCAAAGTAACTCTTTTTAGGCGGTGGTGTTTCTCTTTTATACGCTACAAGGGAGTTAAATAGAATCCAAACCAAGAACAGTGATGAGAAAATTGGAGTTCAGATTATTCAAAAGGCACTAAAGGTTCAAATCATAATTTGTAAAATGTTAAAGCCACGAATTTTTCACACTAATAATATAGTTTTTTGCAGGCACCTGCTTATACAATTGCCACAAATGCGGGTGTGGATGGTGCAGTAGTTATTGGCAAACTTCTAGAACAACATGACTATAATTTTGGTTATGATGCTGCTACAGGTGTGCTGTTTTCTTTTTGCTTTTGAATGGCAGTTAATTTCTCTTCATTATAACCGATATGTCATCAACTAAATTATCATTCAGCGTGGATCTCAAAGCGTTAAATGAATCTTGGGGGCGATTAGCATGAATCCTGAAACATTTTTAGAGTAGGAAACATTCAAATACAATTAAAAATCATTCAAAGGACTGATTTGAACAAACTTACAGTAAAACTGATCGGCTCAACAAGATAAATAATGGCACTAAAGTTGATACAATCTGATTCAAATCAAATCCTAATCGAGCCGTTAAACCATTTTTGGAAGCTTATAGTTACTGCTTGAAAATTCAAATGGATTTTAAATTTGACAAACTTATAGTTAAATCAAGCATCCCGGCAATGCGAATCTAATGAGCCTAAGATCACTCAATTCCCGCACCATTAAGATACTGAAATGTCTGCAGAGTACCATCCAATTGAGGGATCTCTCTGGATCATCTAATGGAGTGGTCAGATTCTTTCTTTATTTATCGGTAGGTCTATCCTAGACTCTATAAATAGAGCTTTATCCCTTCCTTAAGAGAGGCACTAGACCTTGAACCAGAGAAAGACCAGAGCTTTGAGGAGTTGAAATCCCCATGTTCTGCACCGAAGGTTCAGTGAATGTTGTCTGCTCCTGCAGCCGTCGACCGTCGGCGATTATCTCTGGCCCCCGTCGACAAGCATCAGGTGCAACCACTTTTTACTATGTATTCTTATTAAGGAGTCACTATATGCGTTGCGGAATCCCAGCATATGTTGTGGAATAGTGAAGCACCTGACTGAACAATACGCATTCAGTACATCGAAACAACGACACACCTCAAAGATGATGTATTGTAGTTCCAGTAATTGTTCCCAACTGCAACCACTATTGGTCATTGCACAACGAATATTGTACCTTAAAGAACTGTGTAGTCTTTTCTTTTTGTGGCACAAGAACCTGTATGTGCATTCACTAATTCATAGTAGATTATTCTAATTGAGTTTGACCTCGTAATTTTTTCACTTTTCTAGTTTTTCATGTAAATATTTTTGATGTCTCCACCTTTCATTTGTGTCATTTGAGTGTGTGTTGGATTCTCATTTAATGCTAAGACGATGATTCATTATTCTCTCGTTGTTAATTCTATAGCATGCATTAGTTTGACACCGTTTGTGAGAACAATAATCCTAACTTCAAAGGACTTGCAAAATTTACTAAATGCCACCAGACGCAACACTCGTAATAACAAAGCATCTCATTCTAACACCCACCATTCTAGGGGATAATCTCAGAGTCAAGTTTATCAAGCCTTTATTACTTCCCACCCTAGAAGCCATCATCTTGCCCACAAATGCGGCTCAGGTTTCTCTCTAGATGATCGAATGCGCATGATGGAGGAATCTCAACATGAGATCCTTCAGATCTTACGTGAGGCCTGATAGTCGATACCTTACTGTGTCAATTCAACAGCTGACGAGAAATGTCCTGCTCTAGCACACTTATACCAGACTCCCTGCTCATGATGGAACTCCTCTTCCAAGCTAGGACGCCGTCCTCCTTAATACTACGAGTCACACTCATCCATCCATTACAGCTCACCTGGCACAACCCTGTCTTATCGTTGCTCTTGATAATGCCATTCATGACGGGCTACATCTTGTTCGGGTAGAGTTCCCCTCGATGGATAGGGATAGCTTCCCCGCTCTTTATTACTTCCAAGAGTCCTCTCACTTGGCTGAGGCGGTCCTCCAATACCTCATCTTCATAGGCTTTAAACTTTCAAATATTGATTCTTATGAAGAGGTAACCGACCTTTAAAAATACACTGACTATTATCGAATCATCATACACATTCAGCGTGCCGCTTATGCGCTACCTTGTCAAGTGTTTCTTGCTACTCTCGAGGGTCAAGCTCGCACCTGGTTATACTCTTTCTCGGGAGGCACCATCCGTACCTTTAATGAGCTTGTCAAGCTATTCGTGGATTAATTCATAGCAAACATGATCAAAGATTCATCCCATTTATCAGGAATTTGCTAAAATAAGGGGGAACCCTTTAAGGAATATTTCTATAGGCTCCCTATTAAAGCTCGCTAGATAACAGGGGTGAATCCTAAACTATTAAGGGAGTTTCCTTATAAGGCTCTGTCGAGAACTTTTCTATTCATTGTTAATTCGGGAGAAAGTACGCTCTTATGCTGATCTTGTCTATCCTATCGAAGCCCAAATCTTTTGCAGATAAGACAATCAACGCACACAAGTAGTGATTCGAGCCATTTTGGGGCAAACGGAAGAATAACTCGGGGATACTGATCAAACCTTACAATGAAATAAGTTTGAATCACAAAGGAATCGCGATCTCTCTCCTCAATCCCTGAACCTGTGACATGAGCCTCGTTCAAAAAATGAGTATATGTCACTCAATATGTCACGTGCCAACGTCTTGATGGTCATCAAGGATGAAGTGATTAAGTGGTCAAGACCGATAGAAAATTCAGATATTGGAGACCAGTTTCAGTATTGTTATTCCTTCTATGGAAAAGGGCATTTGACAGAAATATTTTTTACTTAAAAGTGGAATATGAATGTCTGATACATCAAGGTCGTTTGGGCTATTATAAGAATGAGGTGAGGTCAATTAGGAGAAAATCATTGGAATTTTTGAATGAGAAGTACAACTACAATTTATCTTTTGAGTAAATATTTTTTTTTCTTTTATCATAGCTTATAAGTTTCTAGTTTTATTTCTAGCAAGAATATCCTTATATAAAACAAAAATCACACAAAAAATCCTTTTTGAAATGCACAACAAGGAAATCCCTATGAAAAATACCCTCCAGAATGCGGGAAAACTCTAATTTTTCTCCACCAAGAATTCTCTCTGAAATATGCGGCGAGGAAATCCAAATGAAGAATCTTCTCCAAAATGCAATGCGGGTATACTCCATTTTTTCTCCATGAAAAATTCCTCCATAATGCATGGCGTAGAAATCCCCATAATCCTTTCTGAAATGCGTGACAGTAAACTCCAATTTTTCTTCATGAATAATACCCTCCAGAAACTCAAATTTTTCTCTACAAAGAATTTCTTCGATAATCTTTCGACATCTTCATGATATACTTTTGAAATTTTCAATAATGTCTTCAATTGAATTATAATTCAAAATGAATTTCAAAGTATGGAATGAATCTTGGGCTGATTAGCACGAATATCGGAGCATTTTATGAGCAAGAAATGCTCGAGCGTAAATTAAAAATCACCCAGAAGTTCAATTTCAACAAACTTCTAGTCAAACTGACTGACTTGACAAGACGGACGCAATGACACTAAAGTTGGTCTAATCCAAATCAAATCAATCCCGAATCGAGCCGTTAAGTCATTTTTGGAAGCTTTTAGTGTCTACTTGTAATGTTAAATGTATTTCAAATTTGATAAACTTGTACTCAAATCGAGCGTCTCGACAAGACGAATTCAACGGGTTCATGATCACTCAATTCCAATATCATTAAGACCCTCAAATGTTCATAAGATATCATCTGATCTCTCTGGGCCGTCCAATAGAGAGGTCAAGTGGTCTCTCACTGATTTTTTAAATAGAGTCTTACCTCCTTCTTGAGAGGGGAGCTAGACCTTGAACTAGAGGAAGACCGGAGCTTGGAGGAGGAGTTGAACCTTCACGTTCTACACTGAAGGTCCAATGAACATTGCATGCTTCTGCAGCCATCTACCATCATCAACGATCGCTCGTTCGTCGCCGCCGACCATCATTAGTTGTCATCCGGTCCTTGTGATGTCAAAACATGCTCAGCGAATCCCAACAAACATTGCGGAATAGTGAAGCACCCAACAGAGTAGTACATCTTCCAGTACACCGGAACAATGAAGCGCCTCGAAGGCTGTGTATTGGTATTCCAGTAAATATCTTAAGATGCAATCACTCTCGACCATTGTGTAATATATATTGTATCTTGAAGAATTGTGTAGTCATTTTCCTGTCCGTTGGACAACGAATGTAGATGTAATCATCAATTTATTGTGAATTATTTTGATTCAGCTATGTCCCGTGGGTTTTTTCTCTTTCCGAGTTTGTTTTTGCTCGTTTTCCTCTCTTTTATTTTAGAATGAGTCGTCAGTCTGTCGATTGTCGTATACTTCCCTTATTCGAATAAATCTCCCTCCCGAATCAAATCAACGATTCACAGAGGAGAGGAACTGAATAATATGGGACATACGACAAAATGATAAATAAGAGAAAACACAAAGCGTTGAGAGCCTACGTGCGGTAAACTTTTCAAAGATAGGTTAAGAGTGTCCGCCCAAACAGGTTCGGGCGAAAGCACCTTAAACCGATATCCGCGAATGAATATCTACGTAAACTACCCAAAACCTACGTAAACTACCCAAACCAGAGAGTCAAGTGTAAGTGTCTGTTCTGGGGTCATGAGCACTCCCAATGGGACGTATCCCACTTGGTTAATTACATCTTGGGGGGTACCCAAGAATACTCTCGATAAAAGAAGTTTCGCTTGGATTTCGTGAACTTGGGGCAATAGGTACTCAAAGGAAGGTTATTTCGTGTGGGAACAGTCTGAATGATTCAAAGCTCGCGCTAAGCCATCGTGCAGGGAGTGAGTCTCTCACATCCCGAATGGGTAGTGGCTTATCAGCACACGGGGCCAACGAAATAACCTAAATCATCTTAACGGGGATATCCCAACACGTTAAAATACGTTCGGGACATAAGGGCAAAGGACAAATTATCGTATCCCAAATGGGTGGTAGCTTATCGGCATCGAGCCGTCAAAATGATATCAATGAAGTCAATGATAGATATGGCTCAAAGGGGCTTGACAAAAGGAAGATAGAGTTATCCTAGAAGGTAGATGTAACTCGGTCGGGGTACCACAGGTCTGTCATCTACAACTACTAGAACCCTATGTCTATCTGGTCGTGAAGATAGTCGACCCAACACGTCCTGAGAACCCCAGTCAGCAATTCGTGGATTGCGTCGTCCACGGAAACCTCGATAGCCCTAAGGTCAAAGGAAGGAAACTCTATCCTATGACTAAAAGCTGAAGCTCCAAAAGGTGGGACTTATACCTGTCGAAGTGGCGTGATTGCCTCAGGAAACAAATGAAAGAGAGGTTTAGCTACAAAGATGGAAACACTCCAAACAAAAGGACTTACACCCCGTCTGGGTCGGGGAGCCTTCTAACACATTTGGCGCACTAGACAACCAGACAACCACAACCACCTATATAAAGGTATGTTGGGTCAGTCAGGTTGAAGAAGCACGAGAGCTCCTCCTCGGGACATGCAAATATGAATGCAGTTATGCGGTCCTTAAGCATTGTGGAGGCCTTATTAATATATGCAAGAAAGTAAATGTTGCAATTTTTAAATCCTGAATATTTTAATCCTAAAATTTAATTATCTTGAATATTTTATGTAGGATTTTTAGTAGAAAAATTAGGAATTTAAGTTATAATGAGTCTATGTTTCATCATGAAATCTCAGATAAACCACAGAAAAAAATAAGGAAAATACATGTAAATGCAGACATGCAACATAATGTAAAAAACAAACAAGTCAAATCAAAATAATAAACAGGCCGGTGTCGCTGGGTCGACAACATATCCCAGAAAAGAAAAAGACGGTCGGACTCCGCATATACATGCCCAGTCATAATTCTTTACACAATACAAAATGCAGAATTAAGATACGAGGTACGAGCATCTGCTCCCGGTCTCTTTTACGTGGTTTCTGCGCTAAACGCCTCGGAACTCGTGCCCGTATCTTATTTCTGCTACTGAACTCTTGACTCAACCCTGCATGGAAACAAATGTCAGCGGGAAAGCTCTCATGCAAATAACGTATTATGAGTCATGTCTTAAAAGCGGAGGAGCTAAATAACATCTGCAAACAAAAGGGTCAGAAATCATCACATGCTCCCCCCATAGCGGTACCTATGTGTGTGCATATAAAAGGACATGACTCCCTGCAGAAGAACGCCCTAACACGCTACCATACATATGCAGCCTGCAGTCACATCACAAGCACAATGCAAAAGAAAGGTGTCTGGCTAGGGCAACCAATTCAGCAAAGAACAATAGCCGGACATCAAAGACTACCTAAGCACCATAAACGAAAAATGCGTCAACCTAGTGTCTAAGTGCGTGGTAGGTCTGGGTATAGTATGACTTTGACGGGGTCGTCATACTGGCCCCTTCCTACAGATCCAAAGGATCTAAAGGGTGTCACGTAGAGTGGTGACACGAGTTAGATCTATTAGATCTTTAGCACAATCATGTTCGTGTCAATCTTGATGACTTAACTCGCATTGCTCATTGGGATCAACCCAACAAACAATGCTTATTAAGGCATCGCGACCGACACGTGGTCATTCTCCTAACGAGCCTGACTCGCTATCTTTGCGAACATGCAAATGCAAGTGTAGGCAGTCATGTGACAGAAGTGATGAGTGCATTATGGGGCAGTGACTCAGGAAAAGATTGGCATACCATGTAGGCAGCGACCCGAACAAATGGATGAGTCATAGAAACAGTGGCCTGAAGGAAAGACATGCAATAGAGACAGTGGCCCAAAGTAAGGTGTGCCGAGGCGGTAATTGCCAAAAAGTGTTTGGCGTGCTGCGGTGATAGCGACCCGAAGGTGTGCCGAGGCGGCAGTGACCGAAGGTGTGGGCGTGTCGTTGAGGCAGTGGTGATCCTCGCCGGGTGCAACATGCAAGCATACATAGTGCAACATGCAAACAAACAAACATGCGATGTGATGCAAACAAAAAGGCAATAAGATGCAGAAGCATACAAACATGCAAGTGCTCACTCGACCGGACTGTGATGGCCGGTCGAACTTAAGTGATCGGTCGACCGGGCCAGGACGACCGGTCGAACCAAAGTGAGAGGCTCGCCGGGTCGGGGCGGCCAATTGGAGCGAAGTGAGATGCTCGTCAAGCCGGGGCACGACAGATCGGAGCGAAGTAAAATGCTCACCAGGCAAGAGCTGCCTGTCGGAGCGAATTGAAATGCAACATGCACCAAGTAAAAATGCAATATGTAGCAAACCAACATGCAAATAACAAATTGGGCGCGTGCTAACAATCTCACATGGGAAATCTAAGTTTTAGACCCTTGGATGTGCGACACCTTCGCCTCTTGTTTTGGTGAGGAAATGTTAGGAGTTTCGCCCAGGATCTCCGAGAGGAAGACTTTCCACGGCGTCACGAAATAGGATGACTACAAAGCTTTTCTTATTTTGCGAACTCCTCCAGGCTTTACAAAGCGAGCCAGCTACAAAGCTTCTCTCGCTTTGCCAAGTCCGACCTCCCAGCTTCTTCAAGTAAGGCTGAGGAACCCAAAGCAAGGGGAGTGAGGGACTCCGACCCATCAGGATTTGTGTTAAAGCTCACAACAAAGGGGAGACACTCGGCTCTACAGAGGGTGTTTGACAACGCACATGAAGTCCTATTCTAAAAGCTAGCTCTAGGAAAACCAACGATCCATCACACAGGCACGTCACCGACCCACGTCGGCGCACGCACCCCGTGTGTGAGATCGAACCCACACGCTTAAGTACCACTAAAACCTAGGGAACAGCTAGGAGTTAGGAAATCTCGCCACCGTGACGGTTGTGGACGCGCTCTCTTTATACTGAAGGAGAGCCCTTGCTTCGAGCCGCTGGTGTCCGGTCCGTGCGCCACTATACCTCGCAATGGATGAAGATGGGAGCAAATGAGGGCAGGAGTACCCAAAAATAAGCATCGATTCATATGAAAATAAAACCGATACGTACCTTCGAGAAGGGTTGCTCGACGCCCGCAAAAGAGGAGAACCTACGAAGATACCGGCAGGAAGAAGCGTCGGCGGAGGCCTTTCCTGCGATGTGGAAGGCTCTTGCACCTTCCCGAACGGTGACGTCGCTTGCTATCCGACGACATCGAGGTGTTCCAGCGATGTCTCTGCGGTGCGTAGAGGCTAGCTCGCCGGCGGCGCACACCGGGATCAAAAGAAACGCGGAGGAGAGCCCAAAATTTAAAGCTCCCCTCGCTGATTTTTGCTCCGACATAAATACGACACCGACGAGGAAGAGGTCCGGCGAATGGCGGGATCTCGGTGTCGGAGTAGGGGTCGGTGGATCTGCGTGTGGCGAAGAAGAGAAGAATGAGGAGGAAAAGGGAGAGGCGGGAGGCGGGCGAGAGA